ATTATAACTGAACACCCTGGATGCAAAATCAACAAACAAGAAAAAAAGCCAAACAGTGCACCAGCAAAATGGAAGATCAGGTTGGAAAATAAGATCAGCATGCCAAGAACAGATGCAAGCAAACTAGGGCAAATGAAAGAACAAAACCTAAAGATCAAGAAGACCAAATACCTGATCAATAAATATCATTAGAAGAGAATATCTATAGCGCAGAGTTGAACTGTGGAGTCCTTGGTGTTCTCTGAGCTTGGTTGTTTTCTTGAAGATGTTTTGTTACCTGACTAGGTAACATCTTCAGTGTACAACCAAACAACCAAGCTCAAAGAACACCAAGGACTCCACAAGAAATATCACCTAGAAACAAGGAAGATCAAGGAAGCAATCAAGAAAATCAGCAGATAGGAGTTCGAATTGCACACTGCCGGCAGAATCTCCAATTTCAATTGAATCAGAAACATTTCTACCAATCCATCAATGGAGAGATTGCAATGAATCAGCCAACACCTGACAAAGAAGAAATAGTGCAGCTCTCCACAGCTATAGGACAACCCAAAGAAATACAACAAGAATGCAGCTTGGATAAAGGAGGTAGATAAGAAGGGGGGAAAAAAGCTGAAATGAAAGAACTTAATAACTGCAGAAATTGTTGAGAAAAGGGCAAGAAAGATCAAGAATTGGTCAGCACCAGGTGAAGATGAACTGCGTGGTTTTCAGTTGAAATATCTGACTGGTCTGCACCCACTCATAGCCAAGCAGTTTAACAACATACTGCAAGAAGGTGAAATTGAAGGTTGGTTAACATCTGGCAAAACCTACCTGATAATGAAAGATCCAGCAAAAGGGGCAGCACCAGGCAACTACAGGCCAATTACCTGCTTATCAACAACTTTTAAATTGCTAACTGGTGTGGTAGCTGATGCATCTAGTTGAAAACAAGCTCTTTCCATCTGAGCAGAAAGGAAACTGCCCAAACAGCGGGAGGGCAAAAGATCAACTCCTAATTAGCAAGATGATTTTGGGAAACTGCAAGAGAAGAAAGACAAACTTGAGTAGAGTTGATTACAAGAAGGCATCTGACTCCCTGCCACATGACTAGATAATCAAGTGGCTAGAAATAACAGGAGTCAGTAGAAACATCAGAAGCTTTGTGCAAAGATCAACGGCACAACGGAAGAAGACACAGTTGCTGGTCTGAATATACGGCCAAAATATTGCAGTGGAGTTTGGACTGGACCAGCATAGCAAGCGTGATGAAGGGAGGAGTCTCACTCACCCTCGGCGAAAGCCTGGGTAAAGACCCAGGTCTTCACATTTCTTCTAAACAACAGCAGAGTGGGGGCCATCCAGATCTTGGGGAGAACATCATTCCAGAGGGCAGGCACTGCTACAGAGAAGGCACGCTTCTGAGGTCCTGAGAGATGACATTGTTCAATCGAAGGAACCTGGAGAGTACCAACCCTGCAGGATCGAATCAGCTGGGCAGATGTTATGGGACTACTACTATGTGTAAGATGCTCAAAGAGAGGGATTCACTGAAATGAAATTCTGCCTATCAGAAGAAATGCTGGTAGATGAAGTCAATAAGTCTCTGGCTAGAGATTGACACAGAACCCTTTATGGAGATTGTGGATTGGTACATGAGTCAGTGTTGGAGGCCAAAGCCAATGGCATTGACTCTTCAGCAGTCTATGACTTACCAACCACAAGAGGCAGCAGAGTGTAGAAAAGGAATTAAAGATTTACTCTGTGTCTCCTCTTTGTCTCCTACTCTGCCTGCCCTTTGTCTAAGAGATTGGTAATCTGAGGTCATTCTCTTCCCAGGCACACATGCCTAAAGTGCATGTTCCTGCACTCTGCTGTTGGTAGGATGTAGCCTGCTAAGTCCCAGACTTTGCCTATCCCTTAATATAAGAAATATATTAAATTTCATTTCTGTTATAGTTGTAAAACCTGCTTCACTAATCATTGCTCAGGATAAATTCCCATTTTTAGGAATGCTGAGACAAAGAACACTTCAATCTCCAACATTTTAGAGGAAAATCAGAAGAGTTGGCACATGAAAAGACTGTCTACCTGAACTACACATACTGTACTGTATTCTGACTACTGAATTTGCTTAATGTTTCGCTGAAAAATATCAAAGAAATTCCAGCACAAAATCCCAAATATTGGATACAGTATTCTTGTTCTAATTACAAAACATCTATATTTACTACCAGTATACAGACAAATAAAATAAATACATGATTTGGGGAATTAGAACCTTTTTAAAGTTATTTGGATTCTCCCAAATCATGAATAATCATGCCTACTGATTTGCTCAATTGCATAAATAACGTTATTAACATTTTCAATTGCATAAATAAAGTTATTAACATTCTCCATCAGAATCATGAGATTTAGCTAAATGGAAGCATAACATAAATAGTATCATGAAAAACCATCTTATATAAATGTATAGTCAGTCATCTGGATTATTTTCTATATAGCATGATATAAAGTTAGAAGTTCAGGGAAGGATCATGAAGACATGAGTTCAAATGTCTGTTCAACTAAGAAACTCTAGTATTAACAAGGCCCTGGTCCACTCAGTCTACACTTCTACTAATACCCTACACCAAACCAAATCTTTCTCTCTCTCTCTCTCTTTCTGTTTGCTATCCACTGATTTATAGTGAGTAGAAATACATGAGTTCAAATGTCTGTTCAACTAAGAAACTCTAGTATTAACAAGGCCCTGGTCCACTCAGTCTACACTTCTACTAATACCCTACACCAAACCAAATCTTTCTCTCTCTCTCTCTCTTTCTGTTTGCTATCCACTGATTTATAGTGAGTAGAAATATTTAAATAATATTTAAATATTTAACTATGTACATCAAAGCCAGTACATGGGACAAGATGGACCAGTTTTAATCTACTTCCAGATCAGAGTACTTAAAACAATAAAATTTAAATTTATAAACGTACAGCACATAAATTCAGAATAAGTACCTACCGGATAAACAGTGGTTGGGTTTACATGATGGATTTACAGACTGAAATGTAGTTCACTTGACCTAATTTTCTGAGTTTGCACAATACAGTACACTCAACCATAAAATGACAACATGGGCTGAGTTTGCACTACACATCAGGCTAAAATCCAATGGCTAGCATGTGGCTCAATGTGCTGTGTGAACCCAGAGAGTAATTCTTCTGGCTTCTCATTACTTAATTCAGTTTTTCCTAAACTGGTGCCTTCTATAATCCTTTGGACTGTGCTAGTTAGGGTTAATGGACGTTAAAAGTGTTAGGTCTATTATAATCAACTTCTTATGACTTATGGATATTAAAGTACCCCTGGAGGGCACCCGGTTGGAGCAGAATAATGTTTCATATTGGGCAGTTACATAAGGAGGCACGGCAGGTCAAATAAACAGGGTTTTTTTTCAACCACCTGTTAGGAAATTGTTAGCCCTTTTATATCAAAAGCCTGTTATTCACAGGGTATATCTAATCTATTTCTTTCAAGGCAAACAGAAATACAGGTGCATATTTCTATTTATAGGAAGCATACAGTAGATTGATGGAAAACTGTTTTCTGTGGACTTGGAACACCAACAAATGCATTTAACTTGTGCTAGAATGGCTGGAGCAAAGCATCCAGGATTTGCTGGCAATGGATGGTTTGACTCTCTTCACTGCCAACAACTGATATGAAAGGAAGGACATTCAGGAGATATCAAGGTAATGCAGCTGCTTCTACCTGTACAACCTGAGTGCTCAAACTTGGAGGACCCTCTACTGGAGCAGATTTGGGGGAGATCAAAAGTTCTGTGGGCAAAAGGCCCCTGTGGGATTGCTTTATTGTTCAAAAGCAGGTTATGAGTGCAATCCAAATAAATACATAAATGGATTTCATTTTGTTCCTTCAGAGTTCCTTTCCCAAATATCTTTACCAGCTCTAGAGCTCTCCTTTCTAGAAAACAAGTTGCTAGATTATTGCCTTTTGCTGTTCTGCAATGTAAGGCTTCCTAGGTAGACTAAGTAATGAATACTTTTTGACTGCCTAAACTACATGTTACATGTAAATGTATGTAACAGTGGCCTGATGGGTCAGTTAGATCAGGAAAGCAGTGAGCAAATTCAAAAAATGCTAGATTGGGTAATGTGAAAGGGGGAAATGTTGACAGGCACATGGTTAAGCACCCCTTTCTCAATGCTTCTTGGTTCTCAGTTCCTACAAGAAGCAGATTTTCATTCTTTGAATTGGCATCCAACCCAATATTACCATCATGAAACTGTCTTTTGGCTGAAGTAATTCAACTGAACAATACAATTTGTCTCATTTCTGTACAATTTCACATTTGAACAAAGGTACAATCAAGAAGTTAGAAGAAGCTTGAGTAGTTGTACTTCCTCTACTAATGCAGGTGTCTCACAATAGAGGGTTCCCTTTTTTTGTTGCTATGTGCTACAAGAAAGGTAGGAAGATGGTCAAAGATGCTAGAGATGCCTGTAGATATGCTTCTATAAATCTCCAAAATGGAAAGAGCCAATGTAGAATCAGCCCTTTGAAGCAGACCAGACTAGGAAACCAAAGTTGTGAATACTAATACTACTTTTATTATAGGGTTATAGTAACAGAACCTTGCAAGTGTGAAAGTGCCTTCCCCCTCCCTGCCTTTATCTTCAAGAGAATGAGGGAGGGTCAAGTCTGAGACATTTTCTCAAATTACATTTTTGCTTTGGACTCAGATTTCATTTATCTGACCATTATCTTGGTTGCTGTTCTTCCTCCTGTTCCTCAAGGTTATTCTCATAGCCCATTACATGTAGTCACTAAGTGGTTAACATTATGCCACGTCTTGTCTAATTGTCTGAATGCATGCACTCATTCCAGACAACAAATTATGGGTTATGTTTAGCAAATCACAATTTGAAATGATACTTTATAAATCCTGGATTATTTTAATCCTGGCTTGTCACAGACTGGGTTCACACATCATACTAAACTCTCATATGCCTTGTTTGATTTTGACTTGGTCTGTTGGGTAAATACTGTATTGCCAATTATGTTAACATATGTGAATCCAGTCTGGACATAAAATGCTGGCTGATTTCTTGTTTGTATTTGGGTTTCAGCCCTTAAAATAACACTGTTGCTTTAGATAAATTATGCTTTTCTCCTTTCCCTACATCAGCTCCTCTTTTTTCCATGGTCATTACTTTTTCTTTTCTTTTTTAGATGCAGTGCTTCCTGAACACAAGGCATGGTTCTGATTTCCAAATGCCAAACCACATATTTGTCCCCACAAAGCCCAGCAACAGGCACATTTTTTCCACTTCAGCTGCAAAGCTGCACTGGAGGGGTACTCAGCAATGGGAGGGCGTAAATGCCCTGTCACTGCTCTGCTACTTGCTATTGCACCCATGATATACCTGAAACCTGCAATCAAGGAATTTCTTTCCATCGAGCGTCAAAGGACAATTCCCGGATAGCCACATGTTGGAGAATTGTCAGCGGAAGGACTTTAGTAGGCGATGTCTCTTGGACCCTGCCTCCAAATAGGTTTCCCTTTGCTCTAAGCACTTTGAGAAGAACTGCTTTAACTGGTGGGCACAAGCAATTATCATCATCTGAAGGAAGGAACTGTCCCTATGATAACTCAGCTTCATATAAAGGTTGCTGGAAATCAAAGTTGAGCAGTTCCAAACTTGTGAAAAGTCAGCAGAAGCATAACAGGTCAGTTGAAAGGCTGAAAGAAACAAACCTTACTGTGGGCTAAATGCTTGCCCCTTAGCGTCTTCCACCCATTACATTACTACCACTTTCTAAACCAATCTCATGCCACAGATATTCATATAATCAAGAAATACCTACTGCTTTTACTTTCTCCAGTCAGTTGCAATGGTAGATCCATTGATTATATTATGAATTAACTTCATCAGGTTTACAGAATAAACATCTTCATACAGTTCATTTTAATCTGTATGCCACCAGAGTTGCTGCTGTGAGGTGGGCAGTTATATAATCCTAAAAATGATAAAATAAAATGATAAAATAAAATAAAAAGTCCATTGCCTCTTCAAAAACCAGATACTAAGTCTCCTTCCTTAAATGAACATGTTTACTCATAGCTCTTTTTAATCTTCCAAATTTTACAGTGACTTTCAGTCTTACTGACAATCTGTTATGTAAACGGGAAAGGTTTTTGGCATACTGGGTAAGAGAGAGAGAGAGAGAGAGAATGGATTTGCCCCAGCCTCATTACTGCCCGATGTTGATCACTAAATTACAAGAAGATGCCAAATAATAATAATAATAAAAGCAATAAACAGGCTTATGATTTTGTGGGTGAAGCACAAAGATGAGAACCAAATTCCTTATTAATCTCTGGGCTTTGGAGGGGAAATGGTAGAGCTGCCATTGTAATCATAAACAGCCTTTGAATCACTTTCATAACACAGCTTCCCAATTTAAACAGCAGTAGATTACAATTTTGCTCTAATATCATCTAGTAATTTGGTAGTTTACAAAAATAAAAATAAGAAATGCCTGCAAGCTGTTCAAGCTGTTTTAAGTTAAAGTCTGTCTGTCTTTCTCCCCCTTCCTTCCTTCCTTCCTTCCTTCCTTCCTTCCTTCCTTCCTTCCTTCCTTTTTTCTTGTCATGAGAAGGATCTCTGCTGCCTGGATATACCGATATTGCACTTTTAATGACCTCTCCCTCTCCTCACTAAAAGCCTGGCTAGTTTACTACTCCTGTGGGATTTCAGAGCATTTAGCCATCCACGGGTACCATGCCTTTTACAGCCTTGGGACCACTGTACTAAAAGATAATATGCTTTTTTCATTTTTACTTCCTCTAGAATGGCATCCTGATTCCATTTTTTTTATCCCACTTATTTACATTTTTTTTTCATTTGCTTTCATCTTATAATGTAATAATCTCTTTTCCATGACTAAACAGTGAATAAGTGGGTGTTGTTATTTTTATTCTGGAATGGATGGAACAAATCTCTTTTGTTCTTTTTGTAGAAAAGTGACAAAAGCATGGAGAAAAACTGGAAGTCAAGTTGGAAATGTTATAAAACAGTAATTTTTCCACCAGCATTCAGCATTTATAACATTTTTCCACCAGCAGTTGTTCCACCAGCATTCAGAGGTTTAAAAAAGAAGCTAAGAGGAGCAGAAATATGCACAGAGCCCTGGAAGAAATGCATGGTGATGCTCATTCTGGTCCCCCCCCCCATTCATTGCCCCACAAACATTTGAAAATTACAGGTTAAAGCAATACTGGAAAGATTTCTCATTCTTCATTTGCATTGTGTACTGTTTCTGAATAAGGGCAGGTCTCAAGGGGTTTGAAGCTTTGCACGGTATGCATTGTTTAAAGGAGTGATGCTCCGATAACTTTAAACATGAACAGATGTGAATGTATTCTTCTTTTGGAACTCCTTCCAGATTCTCAGCATTAATCTGTGGCTCAATCCAAAAGATCTTTTCAACAGCTTCTCACCTGCAAGCCCATTTTATGCTTTGAATAACTGACAGCCCGGCAAGAAGTCAGAATCCTTTTCATTAGAATATTTTCCTTTGGCTTGTTTGCTTTACCTGTTCTTGCATGAACATCCTACCAAAAGGACTCTCAGTCATTATAGTTTTAATAACTTCTATTCTAATATAGGCTACCCTGTGTCAGACTCTTTGTTTGGCCTAAAACTAACAGTGATTTTTTTCCAAGCACAATGCTCATAACGTTCTCTTTAGCAACATTTATTGATACTAGGTTTAGAAGAATTCCAACCATTGAACATTTTTCATTTAGAACTAATATATGCCCATGTACATCAGTGCAAAATCCTGATTCTCTTTCTGACAGCTTTACTATGATCTGGCAAGGATAAGGGTCTCTTCACTGGTAACAAAGAAGCTTGCAGCTGGCTGCTTATATGATGGTCTCATGAATCTTTCTTAGTCTTGGAACCGATGCCTTACATTCTGACTAATGGAAGCTTTCCAAGGCAGAGGCCTTCTCATTCTTTTAATTGGAAGAGCCAGTGACAGAGCTGAACTGGTTGAAACATGTACCCTGAGAATGTCATCCTCCCCCCTCCCCTCCCCCATCTGCATAAAAAAGACAGCCTTCACCACTGAGGGGTATCTCATTCTTCCTGGCTTGAACCTACATCCAAGTCAATATGATCAATCTGATCAGATTCAGATATATTTTTAAGTCATACCTGCTGAAAAAGATTGATGTTATTTCATTTTAATTGCATCTCTTGCTTCTTCCAAATTTCCCATTCATTTTTTAGGGTGACTGCAGGGTAACTATTTATCCAATGTATTTCTGAGAGCTATAGATATTGCACTTTCAGTGAACCCTTGATTATGCTGTGTTAGGCCCCAGCTTTTGCTTAGGAATCTTGAAAGGAAAGTAATGTAGGGCGAGGACAACATTATATACATAATGACTATATTGTATTGGTAATCACTGCTGGTAAGCTAATTCATTTTAGCCCTGATTTAATTTCAGAGCTATTCAGTTTATAGACCTAACTCTCTGGAGAAGGCTGTAATGCTGCGAAAAATGGAAGGAAAGAGAAGATGAGGACAACCAGCAGCAAAGTGGATGGACTCAGTTACACTGGTAATGTTGGCACCGTTGGAAGACCTTAAGGACGAGGTTAGGGACAGATTGTCTTGGAAAAAAATATATCTGTGTGGTTGCTAAGATGACATCAACCTGATGGCATATAATCAATCAATCAGTTTATAGATCTCCAATTGAGTTCTTTAGGAGTTCTTTGTGTAAAATGCCTGCTGGGTCAACAGATTTTTTTCAGAGTTGTCCAGGTCAGCTATCTTCTTTCACTGTAGATTCTTTCTACTGGCTGTCTATAAGTTTCACCTAGACTTCCAAAATTAGCCTTTCCTGTAGCTGGATGATGTGGTGAGACATTGGTGAAAATCTAAAATTTTATGGAATACTGTATATTAGGAAAGAATGCAAGTATTTAACTTTGTCTTAGAGAAACAGGGTTCTATCTGTAACTGCTTCTGTGTCTGTACTTTATAATAACTATATTCAAGAAAGCTAAAACAATTTCTTCTCTTCAATTTCACTGACAAATCCTCCTTTTTGCTGAATGGTTTTGACATTATGAATGATGTGGGAAGAGAGAGAAAGAAAGAGAGAGGGAGAGAGAGAGATCACACTTTGTCTCATAATACTGCAGCTTGGCTTCATCCCCCAAAATGGATCAGTAATAGATTCAAGGCAGATACAAGCAAGTATTTATTGATTAACGTGTGGGACTCACATATTCTCCCACAAGATGTGATGATCACTGGTTTAGGAGGATTTAAAAGGGGTAAGAGAAAGTCAGGGAGATGGGTGAATGAATGGTTAGTTACAATGCTAAATGGAATCCCCAGGTTTAAATGCGTTGTACTCTGAACATCAATTCCTAGGGAACAGTTAGATTGGAGGTAACAGTAACCCCAAGCTTATGAGTTTTCCAGAGGCATTTCAGTGGCCGCTGCTGAAAACAGAAAACTAAATTAGCTGGGGGAAAGGTCATGCATTGGCTAAATTCACATAACACAATATACCCAAACCAAACTGCTTGATGGTTTAGTTTGATGAATGAATTCAGCCATCATATCTGAAAATCATGGTTTATGGCTCACTGCAATGTGTGAATACAAGTTATTGTAGCTTGTTCAAAAATCAAAGCTAAAATATGTACGAATCCACTGATTACATTACTAAGCTAATCTATACTGTCCCGTTACTAATAGCATGTATCTTGGAAATAAACCTTACAAAATTCAGATGTACTTCTGAATAAACCTGTATAGGTTTGTGCTGGAATAGCAATGTAGATCTAGTCACATGTATGTTATCTTGATGGGTTCAAATGTATAAGATTTCCATCCAATTACATTGGATTTAAGTGAAGTGCTAATGTCGCTCCTTTACCTTTAATGACCTCCAGTCTTATTGAATGCTTTCCCTTTGATTTCTCTTCCAGCTGTGAAGTAGCTTAGTCATTACAGAGAACAATCTATTTGTTAGGTAAGTTCAGCTTCGCCCTTAAAAAAATGTTAATTATTTTTAAACGTAACAAATGCTACATTGCAAATCAGAATGTGTTCTGGATTGAAATTTCAGGCAGCTGAAAGCCACAAGAATGAGCAGTACTGTTTGTGTGTGGGAATTAATGAAATACACATTGTTGATCTGTGCATGGAATGGTACGTCAGTGAATCCTAAAATATCATTGACTTTTCCCAGTCATTTTCTGCATAATTTTCTTGTCCAACATCATTCTCCATGGTCATGTGCACTTTTGAGTAAATCAAAATAAATATAGTTTCTTTGGGATAGAAGGAACCATTTATTTATTTCTAGTAAGATTTATGTTTCACCTTTCTCATGCTGACCTACCACTTTGATTGTTTGCTTGATTTGGTTCCCTTTATAATTAAGGGACTGTAGAAGGTCAGACTGCCTGGGCAGATTCTAAGCCCTGTGCTCCTTCCTTCCCCTCCCTTCTTGGCCCTCCCCCAGTGTTAGGATGACCCAGCTGCCAATTAAACATCAGCTGCCAATCAAACAGCAGCGTGGGGCAGGGGAGGCAAGGAGGAGGCGAGACAAGAAGTCCACCCAGGAGCTCTGCAGCCAAGGCTTGATGATGGATAGACAGAATCAACGGAGCCCAAAGCCCAGGAGAAAAAGTACAGAGTGAAGCTAAAAGACAGACACCATCCACCCAGCCAAAGCCTTGCTGAGAAAGAGACAGCAGGAAAGGAGGCAGCAACTGAGAAAACTGGGGGGTGAGAGCCGTTGTTTCCTCCAAGATTGGGAAGAGGAAAAGAGTCAAGAAGGCCAGCCAGGAAGACCCCAGCAGAAGAGGCAAAGAGAAAGTCAAGGCTTTGGCAGAAGAGGCAGAGAAAACAGAAGCTAAAAAAAAGGTGAAGGACAGACTGAATCTGGAGAAAAGGAACATAGCTCTCTAGAGAGTGACAGTTGGGATATAGAGGGTTTAAGACAAGCTAT